CAAAATAATTTTGACATACATGAACAAAGTTAGAGGACTTATACTACCTGATTTCAAGATTTACTACAAAATGATAGAAATCAAGACAAAAGCGTATTAAATAAGAACAGACATAAATCCATGGACCAGAATAGAGAGTTCAGAAACCTACCCACATATATTTGATCATTTACATTTATATTTATATATAAAAGTAAAGAAAAAAGATAGTCTTTTCAGCAGATGGTGTACATCTTATGCAAAACAAAACCTCAACCCTTAACTTGCACCATAAAAAATTAACTTGAAAAAAAGAAAGATCATAAACCTAAATGTGTGAGCTAATCTTTAAAGTTTCTAGAAGAAAACATAAGGATAAAAGTCTTTGTGACCTTGACTTATGCAGGAACTTATTGGATAGGATACAAAAAATATAAACCATAAAATAAAAAAATTAAGTGAATTTCAAAAAAATTAAAATTTGGTCTTTAAAAGATAGTTAAGAAAATTAAAAGACAATTCATAGACTGGGAGAAAATTTTGCAAACTACATATCGTATCAAGAAAAAGTAATTATCACAACTTAATAAGAAGAAGACAATTGATTAAAAATGGGTAAAAGATTTGGACAGACACTTTACAAAAGCTTATGTATCAATGGCAAATAAACATGAAAAAATGCTCAACATCATTAGTGAATACAAATTAATTAAAACCACTTATTAGAATAACTAACATGACAACACAAAGTGTTTGTAGTAAAGATTTTTTAAAACCGGAACTCAGACTGCAATGTAAAATGGTAGAACCACTTCAAAAATGAATTTGGAGGATTCTTAGAAAGCTAAACACATGATTACATGTGACCCAGAAATTCTACTCCTAGATATTTAACCAACAGAAATAAAGATATATGTCCACATGAAGGCTTATACACAAGTGTTTATAGTAGCTGTATCCATAATACACCAAAACTAGAAACAACATGAATATCCATTAACAATGGCGAATAAGCAAATTGTGAAATATTTATACAATGAAATCCTACTCAGCAATAAAAACGAATAAACTGCTGATTACATGAGGCTAAAACTCAAAACATGCTGAGGAAAAGAAATGAGACACAAAAAGAGCATGTATGTATGATTCCATTTACATAATACTCTAGAAAAGATAAATCTAATCTCTGGGGACAGAAGCAGATTACTGGTTGTCTGAAATAAATGTGTATATGGGGAACTGAATAAGAAGGAACACAATGGGAACTGTTTTGGGTGACAGAAATGTTTTGTACCTTGAGTGTGGTGGTGGTGATGGTGACATGAGTATATGCACTTGCCAAACCTTAGAGAACGGTACGTCCCAAATGCATTTTATTTTACATAAAATATATATACAATTTTATTGAACATAAATTACATCTTAATAAGTTGACTTAAAAAAAAGGCTGAGGGAGTGAAACGTTTACATTTTTTTCCTCTCAAAATATAATCTCCCCTTTTGGATTTCCACAGGCAACTCCACAAATCAACTTGGTGGGTGAAGTAGCTGTGTAACACTCATCAGGCAAGTTCCTTCATCAGTAAAATGAGTGAATTAGATTACTTCATTCATTCAATAAACATTTACTAAAGCCTATTATGGGGCAAGCACTATGCTAAGTTCAAGAGACATAAAGCTGTAAAAGAAACCAATTTTGCCCTCAAGCACTCACAGTCTAGTAGAAGAGAAAACAAACTGATATATGATTATAATTCAGTTTATATATAAGCAGGATTTAAGGAGGATTCATGAGAGACGCTGTCTTCCCTGATGATGCAACACCTGAGGTGGGTTTTGAGGTGCAAGTAAGAGTTAGATAAAGAGGGACAAGAAGGCATTCTAAGCAGAGGGAGTTGTACTGGCAAAGGGCTGAAGGTAACAGATGCACTTGGTGTTAGGTTCTTCAGGTAACTCAGCAGGTCTGGAACACACCACTCACCCTTGGAAGGTCATGGTTGTGTCTTTTAACTTGGAGAAAGTAAAAAATGCGGTTCTAGTTTGAACAGTGTGTAGACAAGGGTTTTGTACCAAATAATGATTCCCATATTATGATGGATAGCTTAAAAGAAAAATACCACCAGTTAGGATCCTTTCTGTTGCCAAGAAAATCTGGATCATGTAGCAAAACGGTCCAGGGATAGACCAGTGGAGTGTAATCTAGGACCAACAAGGACAGAAGAGCAGCTTCTACTCGCTCCATTCCCAGGCTGCAGCAGCTACAGACCCTACCTACATCCTTTCTTTTACACTTCCAGCTTCCCTGAAAGACTAAACCAAAACACTGTAATCATTTGTCACTAGCTCTCATTGGTCTTAGACTTTGTACTGATCCTGAAGCAATCAATCCCTGGCCAGAGTGGCAGTACCTGGAAACTGCTTGTCCAGGATGCAGAGGTCCTGGGGATGGGAACCAGCCTCACTTGAAGCACATGGAGTAGTGGGTAGACCTCCAAATAATAATTAGAGCCATTGTGGAAGAAGAAACACTAGAAACAAAGGAGAAATTTTGCTTTTAAGAGAAACAGATCCCAACAATTTCAGAACAAGTCAGGGGATACAAACATATGTAGACACGTTTCTCCTTGCATCTTCCACATCTAGGATTAGTCAAAGGAAACTGTCTTGGGAATAAAGTGACATAATCAGAACACATATACAGAAAACTATCAATATTATAAGCATCATATGAACAGTTTCATGAGAAAAAAGACAAGGGCATAATTAATTCTAATATACAGGCTCCATGGTATCTTTATGCCAGAGAAGATTTTTTGAGTGGGGCCTTAAAGAATGGAAAAGATCCTCTGGTAGAGACAAAATGAATAGCCACAGCTGGTGGAGCTCTGTGTGGAATCTGCAGGCTGAAGTATAGGATGATGGGTCAGTGTAGGAGCAGTCATGGAAAGACCAAGCTGTGGAGAAGTTTTCCCACCACGCTACAGAGCCTGGCCTTTATCCTTTAAGCAATGGGGAGTTATTAAATTTTTTAAGCCCAGAAGTGACACAATCAAATCTGCTTTTACAGAACTACAGAAACAGACTAGACACTTCTTAGGAATGAGGGAGATAGGTATGGGTGTAGGGATAAAGTAGAAGGCTGAGGGAGTCCAAGCCTAATGATCTCTACTTTTCCTGTGAAACAGGAGAAGAGAGTACATGCTGAGTGTGAAGGGCGTTAAGCAGTTAGGACAAGCTAGAAGTTACAACCAGACAGAACACTGTGTTACCAAAACATTCTCATCAAAAAAAGATGACTCAGTAAACTCTTCTATAATATGAGGTCATAACATATCACATTAGGGGGTAAACTGAAATCCAGAAGAGCCAAATACAATTCGCCTTATGAGGCTATTTCAACATCAATGCCAACGGCCGTAGGTAGAATAGTTATGTGAGCATTACTGATCACTCTGACCCTTGTGACTGCTGGCTTGTGACCCCTTGTGAAAGGGGTGTCACGGGCTGGTAGGAGATGGCATGGGAGGATGCGAGAGGAAGGATGCCAAGTGACAGTGCATGAGGAGGTACAGTTAAAGATGGAGTGGGCAAGGCAGCCGGAGGGCCCTTGCAGCCAAGAGCAGCACACAGCAGAGAAAGAGGCCTGCGGCAGTCACAAAGGAATCAGCCTATCAGGTTTGGCTTGAAATTCAAGATTCAGAAATACTGCCTGGAGCTGCCTGTTTCAAGTGAAAGGATTGGCTGTATCATGATCCATTCATTTCTAAAAACAGATATAGTGTTAAATTATCAGGTTAAATGATAGAAATGCTAATGAAGTTTATTAGGAGTCAATCACAGAATAAATTATTATTTAGTGCTTAGTAAGTCAACAGGTATCTGATTCATAAAAGTGTAAAATAAATATTTTCAAATTAACAAATTACTTATACCAAACTACCTCACACTTGAAGTCTTATGTAAAACCTCATGCATTTCCTAATATATACTGTCAAAATAAAAGACTCATGAAATACATTTGGATAAAACTTAATAAAATTCTAGGCAATCAATAAGAGTATCAATCTATCACTTTAGAGTTTAGTGGAGTAATCAGCATCTGGAATTTGAAACTAAAAATCAAAGGATAATGGCTTTAAGACTTTTTTCACATACTATTATTTCATATTACAGAAATGATAGGTCTGTAGGAAGTAATGTAAATTAAGGCCCTCCACTTATAATAAAGACTAAAATAAAATCGATGCTTTGCATAATGTCTGTAGTTCTAGAATGAATGTCTGCTACATACTTCTAGTTTCTCTGAGCTGCTCTGCCCTAGAAGTCAATCCTGTTGAACCAAGTTTCAGCAAAAGTGAATGATGTTTTGACTCTTCATTCCTTTGAGTGTCCTTCTTATATACTTCCAAAGTAACAGAATCAGGCAACAAGTCTCAGCAGTACCAAGTCTTCTATGCAAGAGATGGAAGGTTTAGAAGTTAGAAGGGATCACATCACACTCTTCTGACTTTTGGAGAGTGAAGAATAAAATATTGTCAGATGGAGACAGCTGTGTTTGATCTTCCCAAGGACAGACATTTAAAGGGAGAAATAAAATGGAAAGTGAAATAAAAATTATATATATATAGCCCTAAGGAGGGAAAAGTTGCTACAAACACCAAAACACATTTGAATTCCTACTTAAAAGTATTATATTTTTCAAGTTTTCTCACATCCTACCCCCCGACCCCCGGCTCTGAGTAAGGAGCAATTTGTAAGACAGAAATACATTATCTAGAGATAAATTTATAAACTAATATGAAAGAATTGTCCAAGAAGCTATATTGCCTCTTGAAGTTTATTACAATAACTTTAGTTCTTATTGCATATATTGTTACATGCCATTTACAAGTCAGGATTATATATATGGTATGCTCAATTTAGCAGAAGTTCTATTTATTGCTTTTCTCTTGAAAATCAGCAGCATGCAATGCAATATTTGGTGTAGTGTTATGGTTTCAAAAAGTGAAAAACTACTTAGGTTTAACTGAGGGATGAACATGATCTTTATTGGCTTATATGCAAAATTTAATTTTGGTTTTATGCAGAGTTTGCATAGTTCATGATTAGTTTATAATGAAAAACTAGATGTGTTGTCAGTGACTGTGAAGAAGATCAGGTGACAGTAGCAAACAGAAAAATTTGAAGAAGAGGCATAACTTTTAAAGTAGAAAGGTCAGCAAGAACTGCCTGAAACAAAAAATAAAAAGAATTATTAATAGCAAAATGAAGTCTATGAAATAAGGTACAAGAGAAACACCATCACAATGTACTTTTGGCATCAACACACACTCTAAGTTCTTCAGATATGTCCTAAATCTTTGTACTAAAGCTACAACTCTGCTTCTTTTTTTCCAAATATCTTAATGTGAGTACATGCGCAAAATGCTAAAATGTACCATAGAAAGTAACCTGGACTTTAGCCTTGAGCCGTCTTCAAATATACAAGGTAGCATGAGTTTATAAGAGGTCTAACATTTCAACTTGCTTCTATAAATAAACATACATTATGAATCCTAGTCCCGTTATTCTAGTGTAAGGAGTAACTAACTGCAGGAAATCATTTTGAAATGGAGCTAATGTTTATTCAGTTGCAAGATACATAAACATCCTCTTCCCTTTAAACAAAGAGTGCAGGCAGCTATTTTAAGGATAAATTTTACATTTTTATAAGCGAAAACAAATAGAATAATATGGCAAGACTATTTAATTGAGCCATACTTCAGGGATAAATTATACTACTGAGAGGTAATCAGTTTAAAATAATTAATTCAGTGAAAACAACCCCAACAAAGCCTATGTATCTTTATTGTATCATCCAAACACATGCTCTTTAACTCTCAACTCATTTTTCTTTGAAAGTGAACAATAAGAAAATGCAACATAAGCTCCAATAGTTTCTATTAAAATTAGTAGGTATCTGGTTTCCCATAATGGTTATAATGGTTTCCTATAATAATCTTGTTTATGACCTTTCATAAGAAGACTGTTTTCAAGTAATTAAGGAAATCTGAATGCTCAGTATTACTTAGCTCGGAACTTACAGGTTTACCCGAGTTAAAAAATTTGGCTATGAGTAATGCGTGTCCTATGCATCAGACACTGAAATGACTGAGTGTGGCAATCTCTCAGGAACTATTTCCATCCCCTCTGAGTGAAACTTATCCTTACTTCAGCTGCAGCCAGTGATGTCACCTCCATCAGGTTCACTGCTCGGAAAGCAAACACAGCAGCTGCCAAGACTGGAAAAGAATGCACACTATTTCAACTGCTGGCCTACTCATCAGCTGGCGTTGCTACTGCTCTGCCCGCAACCACTATATAAAAGCTCAGAACTGGCGCTTTACATGACCGACTGCTCCCCCAAATCTGAGTTAAGGTTTCATGATGAGTGGAAACTGTCTGCTCTGGAGAACAGTGCCCGATGGCTAGACAAACTAAATACCACAGTTTTGGGAAAAAGGAAAATTCACTGGTCTTTAAAAAGGCATTTTATAAATTGTTTCTTTCATACCCACAGCCTAAATTTTAACAGTTCTACAAAGCATGAAGATCTAATGACTGTCTTATAAAGTAAAGTTTATTTTGATGTGGGTATTTCTTACTAATGCATTGGGGAGGCTTCTAAAATGTTTTATGGAGACCACATTTTTACATGTATCAGATCATGTTTCATATGTACCGAGGCGGTGTCCTGATAGAAACATGGCTTGGGGGCCTTTTCTTAAAAATATTTTTATAATTTTTTGTTATTTAGTTATATTTTTGATAAGCAGCATTGACTTTCTTAAGAGTGTCAAAAATGGCCATATCTGTAGGGAGGGCTGCTGAGGGACTGATCCTGACATTTACATTAATGTTGGCTACAGGAAAAAAAAGTTGAAACTTTAAAAAAGCCCAAAAATTATAGAATAGCTTGGAGGTCAATAACATACATTAAGTAGAAACCAAGATTTGTGGCTGGGTGAGGTGGGCTATGCTTGTAGTCCCAGGCACTTGAGAGGCTGAGGCAGGAGATTCATCTTAAGCCCAGGAGTTCGATAGCCTGGGCAACATAGCAAGACCCTGTCTCTTAAAAAAATTAAAAATAACACTTGATTATTGTTTCCATTAAGCATATGCACATGAAAAAAGAGTAGTACTAACGTGCAATCCTTATATAATCTACCATAAAATCCCATGTGAGAGAATGAGTCATGAACTACAGAAGGACCCATGTAAGAGGCAGATAATCCTGACAAGGAGGTGGTGCTGCTTGGAGCCAACTCTTGACTTCTCCCCTTTCTTTCCATCACCAGTGATGGTAGTACATCCCCTATCCAACACTGAAGCTTAGGGAATTAATGGTAGGAACATTCAAAATTATTTGGAAGTCCAGTTCCTGGGTATACTACATACCTGATGCAAAACATATATTTTTTTAAAATACATTTTTACAATGGGAATAACAATAATAACAAGTAATTCTTACACCAATACTATGAGTTAAGCAACTATTATCAATAGTTCCATTTTACTAATGTAGACAGTGAGACACAGTGAGTTGAGTGGATGTTCAGAGGTACACAGGTAGAAATAGTAGAGCCAATCCTCTGCCCTGGCCTTGGAGCCTGAACATCTGACCCCTGTATGAGACTGGAGGTAAGCAGCAACATGGAAGTCAGTGTGCTTTCCTAAGAGTTGTTTGCTCTGCTGTCCCTCCGAATGGCTTTCCAGAGATGCCACGAGGGATGTTGCTATGGTGGCCTGGGTCAGGAGCCAGGCCGCTTAGTTTCCCCAGACAGAGGCAGAGTGCAAGCAGTGATTGGGCAGCATGGGCACTTTTCTAGGTGATGAGAGAATTTGAATAATCTGGCAAAAAAAGTATTCGAATTCGTTAGGAAAAGTCTGGAGAAAAAGATGGTAGTGGTGAAATTTTGAAAGTCAATTCAGCTGTAATTATTCAATATGTAACAAGAGATCTATGACAAAGGCTTTACGCTTTAACTGAAAAGGATAAAATGTAAGTACTTTAAAGTACTCACTGAGCTTCATGTTTACAAGAATTTAAAAAATAAAAAATATTAAAAAATTATTTCTGTGGACCAGCAACCTTTTACAGCTTTCTCCTATCTGGAATTATATTTTATACAGTAGAGATATTTTAGAAGCTAAGGAATATGATTACAACTACCTTTTTTTGTATAGGTGAACAGAGTTGCTGAAAGCTTGATAGGCTGGCCAAATTTTCTGCTGCAGCAGGAAAGAGTGGGAAACTGTTTTTCCAAGGGTAGATAAGAGGGGGGAAAGAGCAGTTCACTGATTGACCTCAGCATCCAAAACGCTTATGTGCTCATAACCTTTATTTATCTTGGTGTCACATCACAGAAGTTCCTTTCCGTCTGCTTCATGTTTGGTTTGCCCAGCCTTTCTGCGGAACAAGTTTGTTTGCCAAGGAGAAAAGATCTATACTTTGGGATATTTTCAAGTGAAATCATATTTTCTTTTGGTCTTTTAAACTACTCTCATTACTTTAATTATAAGCAATTGTATTAAATATATTAAAAACATCTTTGCTTTAAACTGTTCATCTAAAGACTCATTAATTAACAAAGCCAGCGATGTTTATTAAAATATTTCTAAAGATTATATAACTCACTTGATCAAAAAGATGTTTCCAAAATACTCATACCAAAAATCTCTAAAATAATCCAAACTAATTTGTAAGCATCTACATGAAATCATCTACCCCGCAGCTCTTTATCTGAACTCCATGGTGGAGGAGCTTCCTTCAGTCTAGTTTCATTTCTAGATAGTCTAGAATTTTTCCCTTTGATTTTTAAAAAGCACTCAGGGAAAGAAGGTGGATGCGACAATGCAGATTACATTTCTGCCTATTCATCAATAACTTTCTTATTAATATATTGAGCTCACAGCAGAGTGCCTGGCTTAGAAAAAAATACAGTATTCATTATACATTTATTTCTCTTTTTCTTCAGTTTGCTAAGGGGTGATATGACACAGAATGAGAGAATTTAAGTTGGAAGAGGCTTTGAGGGTTTTCTAATTCAATATCCCCTTCAAGTATAAAACCTCTTGATCCTTCAGGTGCCAGTTAAAGAGTCCAGTCTACTTTTGGAATGTTTTAATTATTAGAAAATACTTCCTTATACTGAGTTCTCTTCTTTAACATGCTTTAATGTCTTTTAAAAATGACACCATGTGGTATATACAGTACTCTTCCACATTTCTGGTATACCCAGAGGAGAGTTATTTGGTGGAAACTCTAAAACCCTGTCATTTGAGAAATGATAACAGAAAATGAGCCTACCTAGCTTGGACAATAGAAGACTTTGGGAAGAGGTAAGGATATGAGAGTAGAAAAAACATGATAATGACCTTGACTTAGTAAGAGTATATTTTAAAAAGCTGTATTATCCAGAAATGAAATGGGCCACCTGGTAAGACAGGAATTACCCAACACTGAAGTGTTCAAACATGATAATAAGGACTGTTTGTCAGAATTGTTTAAAAGAAATTATACCTGATACCCTCTAATATTCCTTCTGTCTCTAGATTAAACATATCATGGCCATTCGACCAAAAGAAATGAGAGCAAGCCATTCTTTCCTAACTCATATTTACATGGGCTTTTTAAAATAACTGAGAGAGATGGATAGTAGGAATTGTTAAAATGTAGCCAGTGCTATCTCTTATTACACCAGGAGTGATATATGCCACCCAAGAACTATAGATCTTTCAGCAATCAGCATTAATATGATACCTACAGAATCTGTGCATCATATATATTCTTCAACTAAGCTGTTGTTGATCATTTCCACAACAGTGATTTTACAATGTTATCAGTTTAAGATTAGGAAACACTCTGCCAACTTTTTTGATCTCCATCTATTGTTGTGAAAACTTTGTAATTATTATTTGAATTTCCTGATAATCTCAATGATAAAATAACTGAGTCTATTGTGCACAAGGAAAGCAAAATAATATAATTAATAAGAAATATGTGCCCTGTGTATAACCATATAATTATCTTAAGTGTATACCTGTTGCAAGAACTGCTTAATTATTAAATAAGAGATAAATCTGTGGCTTCCTGAAAAAAAGATGAAATAGTTTTTGGCCTGAGAGAATATCTAAAAGAGAAAACTTAGTTACCAGGGCAGAAATCAGAGACTTAGCAAAATGGAAAAGGTTTTTAACTGAGCATAAGCAGAGGTCTAGAAGAGCTGAGATTTCAGCTATGCAGAAAGGCTCAATATCAGCTTGGATTTTAGGTAGTTGTGAAGGGGCACAGAACAGAATACTAAGGCAGCCAGGGAAGGCCAGAGTATACTCTGTGTACAGACCTCCCAGGTACTAGAAGATAGACAGCCCTGGCTGGACTAAAAGGGGTGGGGTGGGGGGAGAAGGAAGGAAATGAGCTTTCCAATTACAAGTAGTGAATGTTAGACAGGAAAGGGGCCTTAAAATAGAAACAGCATGTTTTACAAATAAGCATTTACTCTTACCAGCAAGAATTTCCAAAGAGTTGTAGCCTAAGATTCTATCCCACAAAAGCAAGAGTTGGTCTGTAGCTAAGTATCCAGAGAAAGCTCGAACCATCCACTTAAATGATATGCGAAGTCTATAAGCAAGAAAAAATGAAAATTAACTTACCACTGATTTTTTTTCTTATGAAAAAGCAATATCAGAAGGGCCCTACAGAGTCTACTGCTAAGATAATTCCTTTGAGTGTCTTAGAAATCACTGGGACATTTACAACTCAAGTACTTTCTTAAAAACTACGAAAGTACAGTGTTGAGAAATCATGAACCTTCAAATTAGTGGTCTTACAATAAATATTAAGAGGAAGAATAATACATGCTGGGCCTTCCTTTATTTTAGAGCTAAGCCTTTATAAAATCTTTATAAAACCTTTTTTCAGAGTATTAGTTATCTATCAATGAACTGATCATCTAATAGTCAACAATTCCAGGCAACCCATAATAATTTGAATTTTATTTAAAATGTTTGGAAGGGTATTCAATGGTTCATATTTTTTCAACTTAATAAATTTTTTTTTACATTTCAGTCAAATGGCTACATAGGATGAATAAAATAAAATAAGGAGTAGAAATGTCGAAGGACAAAGAAATATGGTTTTAAAGCTATGAGACATTAGAAATAGATTTCTGATTTCAAATCCTTAATCTTAGTGAGGTTATCAGAATTCTGAAAGAACAATCAGAAATTGAATTCCACTTCATTTAAAAATTCTAATATATATGAGATCCCACTACTTATAAGTATAAATAGTAATCTAATAGAACATGGAACAAAACTCTTTCCTTTTCCTTTTTACTAATCCAACAATATAAATTACATTAAATGTAAATGGTATAAATGCATCAATTAAAAAAACAGACTGCCACCTAGAAGACCCAACTATATTTTGATTAAAAAACCACTTAAAAATAAACACTGATAATCAATATGTTAAAGGCAAAAAAAAAATAGACCATGAAAATTATAATAAAAAGAAAGCTGAAATAGTTATATTAATATCAGACAAACTATTACCAGGAATAAAAAACATACACTATTACATAAATAATAAACAGAACAGTTCTCCTAAATTCAAAGCTTCAAGATACATAAAGTAAAAACATATACAGTAGTGAAGAAGGAGATAGACAAAATCCACAATTATTATTAGAGACTGTTACACTCCTCTCTCAATTGTCAATAGAAAAAGTTGAAAGAAGGCTTGAACAACACTATCAAAAAAACTTTACTTCACTGACATTTACCTGACATTCTGCCTAATACCTGCAGAATACAAATTTTTTTCAAGTGCATGTGGAACATTCACCAAGACAAATAATACTCGGGGTCAAAAAACAAACCTCAGCAAATTTAAAATAAATAAAATCAAGTGAAGCATGTTGTCTAACTATAAGATAATTAAAATATAAATCAATAGCAGCAAGATATCTTCCAAAATATTTAGAAATTAAACAACACACTTTCATATAGCTCATGTTCAAAGAGGAAATCACAAGAGAAATTATGAAACATTTGTAATTAAATGAATATGAAAAGATAATACGTCAAAATTTGTTGGGTGGAGGTAAAGGAGTACTTTGAGGGAAATTAGTAACATTCCTGCTTAGATTAGAGAAGAAGAAAGTTTTCAAATCAATGATCTAACTTCCACCTTAAACAAGTAGAAAGTCAAGAGTAAAATATACCTAAAGCAGTCAAAAAGGAAAGAAATAATAAATGTAAGAGCAGAAATCACAAAACAAAAACAGAAAACTAACAGAGAAAAAACAATGAAACTAAAAACTGATTATTTCAAAGATGAATAAAGTTGAGAGACCTCTAGTCAGAATAATCAAGAAAAAAAGAGAAACAATACAAATACTAAGCTCAGGAATGAGAGAGGTGATGTCACTAGTAATCCTATAAATATTACAAATCTAATTAAGGATAATTAAGAAAGGTTCTGAATAACTTTATGTCCATAAATTTAATAACTGAAAAAAATGCATAAACTACTGAAGCTCACTCAAGAAGAAATAGATAACCTGAATAGTCCTCTATTAAAGAAATCAAATTCAAAATTAAAATCTTCTAAAAGCATCAGTTTTCATTTATAAAAGCCTTTTAAAAACTGATTTCTTCTACCTTGACAACTGAAATTTTTATACTCTTCCTGCATAAAAACTTTAATGTCATCATAAGTCACTGAAATAAATTTATTACTTTTAATGATCAAAGTGTATAGTAGGCTAGAAGAAAATCAAAATTTTAGTTTCTAGCAATGTCTTCACCCTAATAAAGAAAAGCCTACTATATTCTACTGCTGATCTTACAATATTAAAAAAATAGGTCAATTGAGCACAAGCTTAAAGAACAAAAATTCAAAGGGGAGTGTGCGGGTCCAAGATGGCCAACTGGAGACATCGACAACTGCCTCATTCAGCAAGAGTTTAAACGGAGTGAGACTGGCTCTTTGAAGATCTGCCTAGAAACCAAGTTGAGGTTTATTGATTGAATATCAGAAGACACAGAGAGTGGACAGCTCCAAGCCCCAGTCACCTCCAGAATGGACCCCATGATATTGAAAGAGTGCTCTTGACAAAGGAAGTGATGAGCAAATGGGAGAGATTTTACACATCTCCCAAGGAATATGTGCAGTCCTAGCCAAGAGAGAGACAAACGAGGTCATCCCCCAAACCCCTTCCCTCACTAGCTAGGTGCCTGGAATCTAGACAGAGGTATCATACTGGTTGGATCCATGTGGGGCCCAGAGAACTCTAGAAGCTGCCAATCCCCACATAGGAAGGCCCTGTGGGGCATACCCTGCAGGTGTGGTCTGTGCCTTGTGGGTGCTTCCCACCTCCCTCCCTCTCCAGCCCCAAGCTGGGACAATGTGCTACCTTTGGGGATATTTCTCCAATAGCACCAGTGCCTATCCTAGCCTCAGTTCAGAGTTGCAAACGTGGCTTGCCCTTAGGGGCCACCATCACTGCCACAGTCCCTCCACGGAGAAGGGTAGGAACTAGGAGGTAGTACACCTCTGTGCAGAGCAGTGGAGCTAACCACTTGCAGACTAAGAAAAAATGCCAGGTCTCTTCTGGCAAGGGAGTGGCCTGCCATCTACCTCTGCGTGAGAGGAGCAGTCTGGTTTAGACGAGAGAGGAGGCTGCTTTACACCTGCCAGGACATCTGGACTACAGTTAAGCTATGGGGTCCCTCCTGCTACTGCCAATACTGCTGATGAGATGCAAGGGCTGGGGAGGTAGGCCCCAAAGCTTTCACCAGTCAGGGACCCTGGTGCTTGTGTTAGAGAGAGGGGAAAACACTTGATCTGGAGGAAAGGACTTGCCCTACCCATACTAGACTTCACTGGTGAAGCAATGCCAGCCAGTATTCCCCCCAGCTTGCCACCCTTGCTGCCACCTCTGCCCCTTTCACAGGTCGACCTGAGGAGAGAGGTGAAGTAGGAAAACAACACAAATTGTCACCCCAATAATAGCAACTTTATCAAACAAAAAATAATAAAACAAAAAACAGAAAGGAAAAAGACTGCTCCCATAGATGAGGAAAAAAAAGAGTGAAAAAACACCAGCAATACCCAAAGTAATAATGATTTGACACCCACAAAGGGTCTTCTTAGATCGCAACTAGTGGAATCTACTAAGAATGGACCTGTCCCTGATGATGGACATAGAGTTCATATTATGGATGGCAAAGAAACTCACTGAGATCCAGAAGACAGTGGATACTCAAATTAACAGGTAATGAAGACAGTGCAGGAAGTAAAAGCTGACCTGGCCATTCTAAGAAATAATCATACTAAACTTCTGGAAATGAAGAATTAACTCCTGGAATTTTAAAACAATAACTAGCCTTAACAGCAGAATTCACCGGGTAGAGGAAAGAATCTCAAAGCTTGAATATCAAATTATTGAATTAACCCAGTTTGACAAGAACAAGGAGAAAAGAATTAGGAAAAATTAGCAAAGTCTATGAGAGGTCTGAGATTATGTAAAGAGACCAAATCTATGACTGATTGGCATTCCTGATAAAGAAGGAGAAATGGAGAACCTTGGAACAAGCCTTCTAAGATATTACCCAAGAAAACTTCCCCTACATTACTAGTGAGACAGCTGTGTAGACACAAGAAATTCAGAGAGCTCCTGTGTGGTATTACACGAGAAGATCATTCCCAAGCCACATAATATATTTGCCAAAATGAGCATGAAGGAAAAACTCCTAAAGGCAGCCAGAGAAAAGGGACAGGCCACTTAGCAATGGAGACCCATCAGAATTGTAGTAAACTTCTCAGCAGAAACATTCCAAGTCAGAAGGAACTGTGGACCCATTTTTAACATTCTTAAAGAAAAGCAATTCCAGTCAAGAATTTCCTATTCCACTAAACTAAGCTTCATTAATGAAGCAGAATGAAAATTCTTTTGAGGCATGCATTCCCTAGATAATATGTCACTGCCAGAGCTTCAGGCACTGTTAAAGGAAGTTCTAAACACAGAAATGAAAGAATAGTTACACCTATTGCAAAAGCATAGGTAAGCACAGAGATAACAGATCATACAAATCAACCACAAAGCCTAGAACACAAAGCAGCTTCTTAACAACAATATGACAGGAACAAACCCTCATATATCAATAATTAACTTAAAAGTTAATGAACTGAATATTCCACTCAAAAGGCATAGAATGGCAAACTGGATAAAGAAACATGATCCATCCTTATGCCTTCAGGAAACCCACCTCACTGCAAATGACACCCATAGGCTCAAGGTAAAGAGTTAGAGAAAGATCTTGCAGGCAAATGGAAAACAAAAAGAGCAAGAGTACTTATTCTTATATCACATAAAACAGATCTTAACAATAAAAGTTTTAAAAGGACAATATAAAGGGCTTAATTGATCAGTAAGAAATATCTCTTCTGAATATACATGCACCCAACATAGAAGTACCCTGCTTTATAAAACAATTGATAATTAATCTAAAAGTGGACACAGTCATATAATTAAAATCAGAGACTTTAATACATTGCTAACACCTTAAGACAAATCATTGAGGCAGAAAATCAACAAAGAATTCTAGAACCTTAACTCTATACTGGACCAATTAGATCTAATAGACATCTACAGAACACTTCACACAATAACCACAGAATATACATTCTTCTCATCAGCACACAAAACATACTCTAAGATCAACCACATAACCAGTCATAAGTCAAGTGTAACAAATTTCAAAAGGTTGAAATCATATCATCTTCTCAGGTTACAGCAGAATAAAAACAAATATAATCACCAACAAGAAGCCCCTCAAACACACAAATATATGGACATTAAACAACATGTTTCTGAATGACTTTTGGTTAACATATAAATTAAGACACAACTAAAAATATTTCTAGAAACAAACAAAAACAAAGCCACAAATACTAAAACCTCTGGGATACCATGAAAACAATGCTGAGATAGAATTTTATAGCATTGCATGTACACATCAAGAAAACAGATCTTCACTAAACAGTCTAATGTCACACCTAAGGGAGCTAGAAAGACAAGAACAATCCAATCCCTAAACTAGCAGAAGAATGGAAATTATCAAAATAAAATGGAGCTAAATGAGATAGAGACAAAAACATTATATAAATGGTCAAATGAGTAAAAAGTTGGTTCTTTGAAAGGATAAATAAGATTGACAGACCACTGATTAGATTAATAAAAAAGAGAGAGAGAAAGAAAAATCTAATAAACACAATCAGAAACAAAAAAAGATGATGCTACAACTGACTCTGAAGAAATACAAAGATTATCAGAGATTACTATGAACATCTGTATATGAGTAAACTAGAAAAGCTAGAGGAAATGGAGAAATTCCTGACAACATACAACCTCTAAAGATTGAAACAGAAAGAAACTGAAACCCTAAACAGACCAATAACAATCTAAAAAATTGATTCAGTAATCAGACACTTCCCTGCTCAAAAAAGCCCTGGGCCAGATGGCTTCTTAGCTGAATTCTACCATATGTACAAGAGAAAGCTTATACCAATTCTACTGAAAGTATTTCAAGCTATCAATAAGAAAGGAATCCTAACCTTGCTTATTCTATGAAGTCAATATTTGATACCCCCAATTGGAAAAGACTGACTCAACGAAGAGAAAACTATAGGCCAATTTCCTGGATGAACACAGATGCAAAAATTCTCAACAAGATACTAGCAAATCACATCCAACAGCACATTACAAGGATCATTCATCAGGACCAGGTGAGCTTCATTCTTGGGACAGAAGACTGGCTCAACATATGCAAATCAACAAATGTAGTCCACCACATAAAACCAAGAAACACATGATTGTTTCAATAGATTCATTAAAAAGACATTTGATAAAATCCAACATCCCTTCTTGATAAAACCCTCATATATCTAGGCATCAAAGGGACATTCCTCAACATAATAAGAGCCATTTATGATAAACCTACAGCCAACATTCATGTCTAGTGAGCAGAAGCTAAAAGCATTCCCTCTAAGAACTGGAACAAGACAAGGATTTCCACTCTTACCAGTCCTATTTAACACAGTACTGAAAGTCTAGCCAGAATAATCAGGCAGGAGAAAGAAGTTAGAGGTATCTAAACAGAAAAAGAGGAAATTAAATAATCTCTTTTTGCAGATGATATGATTCTATACCTAGAACACCCTAGAGATTCTGCCATAAACCTCCTAGCACTGATAGGTGACTTTGCTAAAGTCTCAGGACACAAAACCAATGCACAAAAATCAGCTGCATTTCTATACACCAAAAACAAGCAGGCTGAAAACCAAATAAAAAACTAACCCCATTCACAATAGCCACACAAAAAATAAAATACCTTGGTATTCAGCTAACCAAAGAGGTAAAAGATCTTTATAAAGAGAACTATAAAACATTGATCAAAGAAATCAAGGATGACACAAACAAATGGAAGAACATCCCATGCTCATGGATTGGAAGAATCAATATCATTAAGATGTCCATACTACCCCCAAAGCAATCTACAGATTCAAGGTGATCTCAAACTACCAGCAACATTTCTCACAGACCTAGAAAAGACAATATTTAAATTCATATGGAAGGAAAAAATTCCCAAATAGCTAAACAATCCTCAGCAAAAAGAAAAAACCTGGTGGTATCACACTCCCAGACTTCTAACTTTACTCAAGGCTATAGTAATGAAAACAGCATGGTAATGGTAAAAGAATAGACACATAGACAAATGGAACAGAACAGAGAACCCAAAAATAAAACCACAGACCTTCAACCAACTCACCTTTGATAACACTGACAAAAACAAATATTGGAGAAAGGAAACCCTATTTAGCAAAAGGTGCTAGAAAAACTGGCTAACCACATGCAGAAGAATAAAATTGGATCCCTACCTATCACTACATACAAAAATTAATTCAAAACGTATCAAGGACTTAAATGTTAAACTTCAAGCTAAAACAATCTTAAAAGAAAACCTTGACATCAGCCTAGGCAATAAATTCATGGTCAAGTCCTCAAAACAAATGGACCTTATCAAGCTAAAAATATTTTCCACAGCAAAAGAAACCACCAAGAGAGCAAAGAGACAATTCACAGAATTAGAAAACATTTACAAACTATGCATCTGACAAGGGTTTAATATCCAGGATCTATAAGAAAAAAATCACTCAACAGGAAAGACAATCAAACAACCCATTAAAGGTGAGCAAAAAACATGAACAGATACTTCTCAAAGGAAGACATACAACCAACCAATCAACATTAAAAAAATGCTCAGCATCATTAATCACCAGCGAAATGCAAATTGAAACTACGAGATACCATCTCACACTGATCATGATGGCTATTATTAAAAAAATCAAAAAACAACAAGTGTTGGTGAGGCTGTGAGGGAAAGGGGACACTTGTACACTGGTGATGGGAATGTAAATTAGTTCAGCCTTTGTGGAAAGTAGTCTGGAGATTTTCAAAGAACTAAGAACAGTTCTTTTTCAGTTCTCTGCAGTCTCACTTCTGGGAATCTACCCAAAGGAACACAAATTGCTCTACCATAAAGAAACTTACATTCATATGTTTATTGTAGCACTATTCACAAGAGCAAACAACCCAGATGCCCAACGAATAAGGACTGGGTAAAGAAAATGTGGTATACATATGCTATGGAATACTAGGTAGCCAAAAAGAAGAACAAAATCATGTCCTTTGCTGCAACATGGATGCAGTTGGAGACCATCATTCTAAGTGAATTATCACAGAAACAAAAAACTGAATACCACATGTTCTCACTCATAAGTGGGTGCTAAACATTGTACACACACGGGCACAAGGACAGCAACAGACAAAACCACCAATGGGTACCATGTCCACTACAGAGGAGGGACGTCGGCTTGTCCGAAACCCAAACCTCACCTTCACACAATATACTTGTATAACAAATCCTCACATGTACCCTATGATTCTAAAATTTAAAAATAACAAAAATCTTATGCTCAATATAAAACATTTCTGCAACATTCTTGTTTTATAATTTTAATCATGAACATACTTTTTTTCTAATGGTTACAAAGGAAAGGGTATCATCTCAGTATTATCAATGAATAATATGAGAAACTGTTTTATAAAGGACATTTCTAAAATATCTAAAATTCAATGATACTTTATAAAAAGGAGATTATCTCTCATCATTTGATTTTGAAACAAGTCCACAAGTAGAAATTGTCTTGATTTTTAAGATAAAGAAATTAAATTATCTTGACATTAAAGAAATTGAGGCTTAGATAAATTAAATAACTTTACCAGGATTATATAGCTTAGTAGAATTTGGATCTGGGTTAAATTTCCAATCAATCCATCTAATGTGGATTCAGGTGTGAAGAAGACAAACAGTACACAGTTTTACTTTCCATTAACTCCATCTGTGGCCTCAAACAGTTAATACTCTATTTTCTCAAATATGCCCTCCTTAATAGAAGAAATTGGTTGCACAGAGGAGAAGACAGGAATAAAACATTGATTAAATCATTTGGACATTTCTGTTGTTTTAGACACTATCATTTAAAAAGAGACAGAATGAATCAGTAACACTGAAGTCCAAAGCTACTCTCATACTGAGACCAATGAACAAAATTCAGATTTTAGGAAAGATAAATCACCGTGTACAACCTCTAGTAGGTGGCTCCTGGCTTCCTTTAACAAAAGATAGCAAATTTTAGCCTACATAGTTTTCATAGGTTGTTTTTTTATAAAGTCGACATACAATGACTTAATTTCATTTAGTATGATTCCATTTCTCAGGTAGTATTTGTTTCCACAAACGTTTGCCTCAGTTTTGGCTAACACCTTGCCTTATTAATAAAGATTAGTTCATCTTGGTGATTTGGTGATTCTTGTACCAGACACACAAATTAAAGTACATAAGACTTTATTAGGATTTTGGTAATTCTTCCAAGAATTTTTGGCACAATATAATTACAATCTACTACTTGAAAATCAAATCATTTTTTAAAAGAAAATTGTTAGCTTAATTTCTCTGAAGAATTACTACATCATTGCAAGTGCTTTACAATGAAGAAAAAAACTTTTCTGATATGAAGCTATTTTTCAGTTAGGAGAGAAAAAAATACTCACGGTTGAGCTCCAATTTCTCGTAGATGATAAAAGAGTTGAGGAAGGTAAGTCTGAAGAAGAGTTTCAAACAGCAAACAGAGTGACACAATACCCTGGATACAATAATGAATCATAAGAGAAATAGATATTTTAGTCTTTAAAAATTAACTATGCCAACAAGTTACTCAAATGGAAAATGAGAAAAACTATGTTGAATAAATATTCTTTAAATTGTTTAAGAATAAAAAACAGGAAATGTACTAATTGATCTCTAACATTGTGTTTAAAGATAATTTTATCTCTTTTTAAGTATATTTAGACTTGTAAATATGCTAAGGAGCCTTCTTTTTAATACAATATGTAATATTTGGAGAGTCCAAGGAAGATACCACTTTTCTGATAACCTGATACTTTGCAAGTCACATATTATCACTAAGGTCCAGCAAAATAGTTTCTTTTTTTCTGTATGAAATCCAATTTCCAGGTATTTCCCTGGTGCTATAGATGGTTGCACCCTTCATTCTGTCCTCTCTATGTTCCTTCCCCTCTAGACTCACTCATTGGGGAAAATATTTCCTGTTTTTTTCATTCTTGAAATCTACCCCCAGAAAAAGACTGACTGCTGACTGCTTGAAATTTGCACCAGGAAGTTATCAAACAAGATTGTTTGATCACTTAGTATACTTTTTGCTTTTTTTACTAAAACCTACTTTTTAAAAAAAGGGGCATTATTTGTAAACTACAATATGTAACCGATTGAAGCAGATGGTTTTTCAAGGGCATTTATTATTTGATAACTCTGAATAAAGTCTTTCTTGTAGCTCAGCATTCCTCAGGGTTGATCTTTGTAAGGAAGTTTTAATCCTCTTTTTGAGTTTCTAAAGGAAAAAGTCTGTCATGGTTCCAAATAGTTCTAGTCTGGCTATAATCCAAAAGGAGATGACTGTCTGTAAGTCTCTATTCCACTCAATAAAGAAAGGGCAGAGGCAGGCCTGGCTCAATCAATTAGCTGAAAAAAGACACCTCAGGGCCACCAGCATGGACACAGAAAAATGCCTGGAGCTGCCCAGTGTCAGACTTTAGTGCTCTCTGTGGAGAGGACACCATGGGTGTGTGCTGTGCAGCCAGTTTTGTTTAAACGCTCAAGCATCAAATGGTACAGAATATGAAACAATTGATATAAAACAATTGATGCTAAGAATGAGATATCAGAAAAGATAATTATTGATGTTACTATTTCTGATCATTCTCGATTAAACATTAATGTAGGATAAGAACTAAATCAAGTTCTGTCAGAGATAAGAAACCCATGATAACTGGTAGTGCTTCATTTGCTAATCTGTGGCATCCGAGAATTCTGTTATTTGCCAATTTTCACTAGCAAAGTATGAGAACAAAACTGGAGATGGTGGAGGAAGGTGGAATACATAGGCGTAAACTGGAAGCATAAAGTATAGCTATTTAACTAAGTAGCAGCAACACGGTCTCCTCTTTGGGGAAATCTAGTAGCCCTGACATGTATTCCAGCTGAATATTTCTTCCAGAAATGTAGTTACCCACAGTAGACAAAAGCAGGTCTAAAGGGGGGGGGAAGCATGACACAAAATAAACACTGCTTTTACTCAGGCTTATGGGAAGAAAAAAAAAATATGTAAAGGAGTAGCCAAAATAAAATAAATAAAAATGTTCAATTTCTAATATGCTTTTCTTTGATGCTCATATTGAGGCCATAGGAGCTTTGTATTGAATAAATAAAAGAAAATATCTAGTATGACAATTGGTAATTAGCCAAACATGAAATTGACAAACAAGTGACAAACAAATGTTTGATTTTCATTAGCAAAGAAAAGATGACGATAACAACAACCATTTCTACGCTGAACACTTGCTATGGGTTGAGTGCTAACTACACTGGGTGCTTTGTAGACTTTTCTACAGTACTACCGATAACGTATTATTAACTTAATTTCATAGATAAAAATCAGGAAAGAAGGCAGGCATTTTTGTCAAGGATAATAATATAGAAATTCTATGTTTTTTCTTTTAATACATAAAAAGTCACTTAAATGTAGTTGATAAGGTACTTTTTTCTCATTGTTACCAAAAATACTTAAATATCAATTTCATCTTCTCTTTCATTTATGCTAGAAAAACACGTTGCTCAACAGCACAAATTAAAGTCTGTTGCTTTCTAATTTAAGTAGGAGACTTTTTTAAAGAAAAGAAAGAACAGATTAGTGTCTGATTTGATCCAACTTTTATGAACTTACAGAAGGATGAGAAGAGATGGAATGAAGTCTGAAGAAAAAACGCACATACATCTCACGGAATATCTGATATAATTTGTAAGGTTCATGGTATAGAAAACAAAGTGGTGCAACTGAAAGAAAAAAAATTAATTGATAATACTGCAGAGCTATTAAAATTTTTAAAATAAATTTGTGAAATAGGAAAGAATAAGTCAATATTTCATAGTAATATTCATTCATAGACAAGTTAAAAATTTTTTTCATTCCATTTTCATTTTTTTATTTGGAAAAAGGGATATATGCACATGTAAAGTTCAAACAGTCATTAAATATGATACGAAAAGAATATTATTACAAACCATTATAATTCCAATTTAACAGCTGACTAAAAATGGCATAATAAAATTATACAGAAATATTAAAAATTTTGAAGTAACTTATAAAAAACTAAATATAGTCAAGTCTCTCTTTTTTTAATTGAAGTGGAAAGAAAGCAACAGGCAACTCATTTTTACTTTGTCCCACAAAAAATTCAGGTCACTTTTCAAAGTATTTAATTTTGAAAATCAGATATGTAAAATATAAGGTGATTTATGACTAAATTTTAGAATCGTAGTCTTCAGTTAATTCAATTTGAAAATAAAAATTTTGAGTAGTAGCTTTACTCTATTGGTCTATATTGGCATATCTTCATATAGAACAAGACAGTTTTCACCGACTTAATACAGTCCCCAGGCAAAGGATATATTTCCCTAATACAGGCAGAATTAAGTGTGCCTTTGTCCCTAGTTCTTAGGAATTAAGCACAAGTAGATCAATTCAACCAGCTATCCCACAGCTGAATGTCAGAAAATTTTAATCTGGAAGAGCGACCAACCACATGATTATTCTACACTAACAAACGTGATAATGCTTTCCATCTTTTCGAGCTTCAAGAATTTTAGGCAGCATAAACATATTAATAATGCATATACATAAAACTGCATTACCTACATATTAATTTTAATTAAAATGCCTCACTTACAGGGTAATTTCAAACTAAACTGGACAAGTAAGAAGTTCTGGGGTTCTGTAATGTTGGTAATGCGCTGAGGACAGTAGGCATTGAGTAAGAGAAATCAGTGGGCCAATTTAGCTCTCTTTTTGAAAAAAATGAAAGGAAAAGTAGTAAAATATTTTAAATGCTTACAAACACAAAAATTCAATTTTGGGGGGATAAAGGGGGGTACACAGTATTACTAAAGAATAACTCACTGAAAACTAGCATTGCAAGTCAGAAATTTTACTTTTTCTGAAGAGTAAAAATGAAATAAAATCAATACTAAGGAGTAAATATCTAAATACTTATAAAAATAAGCACGTGTGTGTGTATAAAACAATTTATATATAATATATTATGTTATATGTAAAAGCTTAAAACCAGACAGATATGTTCAGAAGTAATTTTTAAAATTTATTATCAAAATGCATTACCCAATTATCCCAAGTTAGAGTATTTTATATATTAAAAATAATAACTCATGTTCTAATTGCAATAACAGCCTAAAGAAAAGCAATGTGACACAAATACTATTATTATAAATTATTATAAATTCAAAGTGAAGGTTTGACATTTATTTACTTTTTAAAAAATGCATATTTTTCCTCTAACTTTTAAAGTTATTGATATGTAAAAACTTGTCATCTGAATCTGAAGACTTTATGGGTTCAGTAATTATTAATGATAATTTCCAGTGACGAGATGAGGAAAAATTTTTAAATGAGCACTTTTCTGCAAACATATAAGATACAAAAAAACTACAATTAGTTATTATTCAAGATATCACAATTGTTTATGTTGAATTCCTTCATATAGCTAAGAAATGGAAGCTTTAGTCCATTATATATAATATGTAAAAAATATTATACATAACTTAATTTTAAGCATTTTCCTATTTGTTTTGTCTATAAAAATAAATATAGACTGAGTGCAGTGGCTTATGTCTATAATCCCAGCACACTGGGAGGCTGAGGAGAGAGAATTGCCTGAAACCACGGGTTCAAGACCAGCCTGCACAAGTTGGCAAGACTTCATCTCTACAATAAATCAAAAAATTAGCTGGGTATGGTGGTGCATGCCTATAGTTCCAGCTACTTGGAAGGCTGAGGTAGAAGGATCGCCTGAGCCCAGCAGGTCAAGGCTGTGGTGGCCAGGAGCGTGCCATTACTCTCCAGCCTGGGTGACAGAGTAAAACTTCAACTCAAAAAAAAAAAATTTAGCTCATTATCTTTTTAACCAATTAAATATCATACTGTAGTAATTTATTTATGAAATTATAATATACCATAAGCCTATAATAAAACTGCAATAATCTGCATAAATAAGAGAGCAGAAGGCATTTTAAGTTAGAGAAAAGTTTTGAATCAATTTTTGAAAGAATATAATTATTTTCTTTGAGTTGGTACCTCACTCTGACACCCAGGCTAGAGTTCAGTGACATGATCATGGCTCACTGAAGCCTGACTCCTAGGCTCAAGCGATATTCCTGCCTCACCCTCCCGAGTAGATGGGACTAAGGGCACCTGCCACCACGCCTAGCTAGTGTTACAAATTTAAAGAAATATAGTCACTGAAACTGAAGTAGCAAAGTACTCACTAAAATGACTTAGATATGATTTGTGATTATTCTAGTATACTGGTTCTAAATTAAGTGGTTGCTGGTAAAGTATCTGTGGATATTCAAAATAATCTTCTAAAATAGTATAAATTAACTCTGTATCAAATATCTTGCATCATTGTTAGCAAAAGTTTTCCCCTCGGGTGTATAAACTTTAGCCTATCCAAATATGAATAGGCAGAGGTTGTCAATGATGTATTTTGAACACTGAGAATTACTAGAAGATTTAAACTTTCGTGACTTCAAGTATCTTCCAAATCATTCAAGCACAACTTCTAAAAACTGTTTACTTGAAAAATTCCTGGCCAAGCTCGGTGGCTCAGCCTGTAATCCTGCACCTTTGGGAGGCTGAGGTGAGTGGATTGCCTGAGCCCGTGGGTTCAAGACCCACCTGGGCAACTTGGTGAGACCTCATCTCTACAATAAATCAAAAAATTAGTCGGGCATGGTAGCGCGCCTGTAGTTCCAGCTACTTGGAAGGCTGAAGCGGAAGGATCACCAGAGCCCAGCAGGTCGAGGCTGCAGTGGCCAGGAGTGGCCACTGCACTCCAGTCTGGGTGACAATGTGAGACTCCAACTCAAAAAAAAAAAAAAAAAAAAAAGATTCATGCAGTTGGAATTTTTAAAGTAGAATATTAAAAGGGCTAACTTTTTTATGGTTTGGTAAAAATTAATATTCTTAATCTTTTTAGCTTTCTATTTTGAGTTCCTCACATGTTTATAAGAGAAATATACTGTGGGGACACTATAACATTATGTATTATGTTATGAAATTTTGGTTGCTCAAGGGAATAAAGTTGAGTATCCTCTAATTCAAGTCTGTGGCCAACACCGTTAAGATGGCGAAATGTAAAGTTTCTAGGTACTTTGAATTATTTTGATTGTATGCTAGCTTTAAAAGTTTCAAGTGATATCATTCACTGTGACTAATGCTGAACACTGAGGTGCTTAAATTAACACAAAGAAAAGTGTTAATTTATTGCTGATTCTTGTTACAAAGGTAAAACATTGATGTATTTCTGCTTATTCTAAAGGTAGTAGGTAAAAATAAAGGTGAGAACAATCTTTAACAAGTTTATATGGAATACATAAAAATTTAAAAATTAAGTGGCTTTTAAGGTGTAGCATGTTCTTCCTCTTGCTAATCTTCGTGAAGCTTCTTGTATTCCTCATTCAGTGACAGGAGGCCCGAAAGGCATTCAGTGCTCTCAAGCCTGTACATGTGTCTTCATGTGTACCTCGGGAAGGCCGACTGCTCTAACCTAACCGTTGCTGTGCATGCCAGTAGCCTGGAGAAATCATGAGCACAAACTCAGTGTTGCCTTTCCTTAGAATTCCCTCTGACCTATTATTTTTTTTTAAAAAAACTCTTATGAGAATTAGTTCAGGAACTTAAGCAACTTGATTTTACATCAATTACAGCTAAAGATTAATATGTATCTCTAGTTTCCAGTGAATTCCACTTTTACAGTATGATCTAATTCCAATTGTCAAGCAATCACTACCTAACCAATTATGACGACCTTTTATTTTTATATATTTTTAAATTGGACATATACAAATACTAAACTCAATGTTTAAAAATATTCATAACTTATGTGTGATTTTATTTAAAGTGGTTATCTTTATGTTTAATTTTCCAAAGTGTAATAAAAACAATAATTATAAAAATTAAACCTTTACAGGAGGCTAGTATGCATTTTACTTTATCTTTCTACATTAAAAACACTTATTTCTGTCAGTTATTATTTTTTAAATGAGCAAATAAAATTGCATGATATTTTTATAGCCCAACTTACCATACATTGAAAATCCATGAAAAGGGATTACACCTAAAAAATAAAAAATAAAAAAAGTATTTCTTTTCAGTAAGCAATATACCTACTGATAATTGGGTAAACTTTAAAGGATTACAATTGAAAATAGGTTCTATATTTTTTGAATTAACTTTGTTCATGAATGTCAGAAAGACTTGATGGTAACCAATTAAAAAGTGTTTTTTAATACCTTCAGAAAGGCAAACTAGGGGGTTTTAAACATCAGTTAACTTTCTATTGATAATATTGGAAAATCGAAACTTTGAATATATGTATTCTAAAACAGGACAAAAACATACGACAAATCACAGAATGAGGTTTAGGAACTAATTATATTGGTCTCAGAAAGTCGATGGATTATGTCCATTTGGAAACAACTTCACTCTGTATATTAGAATCTAATCTGTTAAAAGCTCAGTGAGGTTTTCAAGGCACTTCTTGAAAACATCACTTTACAGAAAACATCATGAGTGCCTAGTAAATTTACTAAAAATTAACCATGGGATGTGGCTTAGAAGAAATATTGGCAGGAGTATTCAGTACAAATTCAGTATAATCTTTAGCAAGAATTATACACAAGTAAAATATACATCCTTTTCAAAGAAATAATCAAAGTCTAACATGGTATGCTAAACATCTTGTCCTATTCTAAATGAAAAATTAGGATTTGTTTAGCTTTGGTTCAAAACAGAAGTTCTGTAATATATACCACTATACAGCTAACACTACAAAATCAGGTTGCAAATACGGTGGAGAAGAAAATTGAGAAGTTTACTTTTTTGTTCATCTGACATGCTCAAAGGCAAACACTTAGTATTAGCAGGGACTTCAGAGGTCATCTGGAGTAAGTTCTAATAAATGATAGTTCTCTCTCACCTTAAAACATGTCTGGCAATGGGGGATGCATTCATTTCCAAGGCAACTCATTAAGATTTTGAACAGGAGTTCTTTCTCATACTGAGCCAAACTCTGGCCCCTTGTAATACCTGTCTATTACTCTTAGTTCCAACCACAAAGGTCATACAGAACAAGTCTAATTTATCTTCTCTATGAAAACTTTCAGAAATATTTAAAGACACTGCTCTCTCCCCCAGTCCCATCACCATCAGGATGTTTTGCGCCAAGACTTTATGGCTTTCTTTAATTGTTCCTCAGATGAAGTGGTCTTGGATAGTTTCCCTATTTTATTTTCCTCTGGACAAATCGCAGTTCATCGGTGCTTAAAGTGAGGCAACTAAAACCTTTAGGTATTTTTCCTCCCTACACACCCCACAGTTAAGACAGTGCACTTCGGCAGTTGTTTCTGGACCTAAGCAAAAGATTATATTTTTACCTCTATTACATTTCTTTGATGAAGCATTCCAATTGGAGACACTAATCCTGGATTCTGTTATCTAATACATTCCCAAGTCCTCCTGGTTCCATTTTACTGGAAAATTTTATAAGTACACTATCTATGTCCTCACTGGAAGCAATATAAAGATTGCTTAACAAGACAGTGTGAGGACAGGAATTATCATGAGAGATTTCTTTCACATTGATATTAATCATTAATCAGCACTTTATTATGATAAGTTAAGAGCACAGACTGGACATCAGACAGACTTGTTTGGGTTCATCTTCTTCTATCACTTAAGAACTTTGTATGCCTTTGTGTACATTTCTTAACTTCCCCATCTGTAGGTCAGATATGATGCCAGAACTTACATGACACGATTAAATGTGATAACCATTAATAAATAAATAGCTTATGGCTTAGGCTATTGATTTAAATACCTCAGGATTATTTATTATTAATAAACATAAAAGTTAATTGTTGATATTATGATTCACAAATTAGTTCATATTTCTTTGCTGATTCTAGAAACAATTTTATCAAAAATAGCATGAGGAAAACCAATTATTATTCTGAACTGGTATGCCAGGGATCAACCATTTTCTAAATTTTGTGCAGCATCATCTTAAGCGTCATGAGCTAGAATTCTCAGGATCAACCTTTTCCCCAGTCTTGTAGCACACAGATTCATGTTGTCCAACTTTGGCTGAATCTTGTGTTGCTTATCAATTTTCTTACCCATCTCTGTTTGATTAGCCATCCTAGTCTTTCAAAACTTTCCCACTCAAGTGTTTAAAACCAAACTGCAGACTTCACTTCCCCCTCACTAGGAGGCATCTGATGCCACTGGCGTGAACTCTCACTTGTCTGTTCTTTATATTTCATGTTTTTTCACTTTTAGTTTCAGAGGCAGAAGTATCCCTTTTCTATTCCACCCAAAATCTTCACCTGTACTCTAAATCCTCTTTCCTTGACTTCTACAGTGGTTGGCAAGGAATGGTCAGGTCCACGGCTTGTTTATGTGCAGCCTGTTAGCTAAAGATGACTTTTATATGTTTTAAAGGACTATTTATGAAAACAGCAACGAATAATATGGAACAGGGACCATTTGTGGCCAGCGAAACTTAAAATATTTACCATCTGGCCAGTTACAGAAAGTTTGCCAAGCCCAAATTTGGAATCCTGCCCCATCAATTATCCCTTCTTCTCTGTTTTATATGCCTCATTCAACAAATATGTACTGAGTCTCTACTATGCGTCAGACACTGTGCTAAGAACTATAGTTGCCTTTTTATTAGGGACAAAACAGTCATAGTAAAAATAAGTGAATGTATGTCAGAGAGTAGTAAGTGCTATGAAGAAAAATAATAAAGGTTTAGGAGGATAGCAAGGACAAGACCAGGGGAGGCTGCAGAAGTCCTTAATGATAAAAGAGCCAGTAATGCTATGGAGGTGAGAATCATCTGACGAGTGGTAACCAGAAATCCCTGAGTGTCACGTGATTGTAACAAAAAGGGCTAAGTTTGAGGATAGGGAGTCTTAAGGTGGACAGTGGTGAGATCTGCTCTTTGCGCCTACTAATGAAGTAGAGGCAGAGGGTGTGTAGGACTTATCAGAGAACTCATATCTTTAGTCTGTCCTATTTCACTGCATCCTTTCAGCCAAGGATATTAAAAATATCCTCACATAGAATAATAATAAGTTAATTTTCTTCCTGGACCCTACTTTCCTGTCAAACAAATCTCTAATCTCTCTCCTTTCCTAGAAGTCAAGCATAATTTTTTTAAACTACCACTATTCGCTCCCTTATTTCCTCATTGTTTACTATCACATGCTTATAAACTGTTTTACATCCCTAGGACCCTAATTTCTGATTGCCAAATTGAAGGGCCTCCTCTCTTTGTGTGTTATACTTAATTGCTTCATAGCAACTGAAGTTCCTTCTTAAACTTAGCCTACCATGGCACTAATGGCACTATGAAGATCAAGCTCCTTGTCTCTTAAAAACTTCTGCTATTCACTTTTTGGTGTTGCTCTGTTTTGGTTTTGGTTAGTTCTCTCTTTTGCCCACTCCTTAAATATGACTACCTTGCAAGACTCTGACATACTTGTTTCTCTCTCCATAAGTATTCTCATTATTAACCCATAAGTCCAACTTTAATAGCCCAATATTCCGAGCTTCCTTCTGGACTCAATTTCTGTAAATGACTCACTACCTCCCTAGTCATTCAAGAGAGAAAGTTTTGAGTCTTCTTTGCTTTCTAGTTCTTCTTCAGCCCTTATACCTAAATGAGATTATGTCCCTCTCCTTTCCCTTTTGGATAAGAACTGTTTAACTCTTCAATCTTTATTCCTCCTCCCTGCACAACAAGCACAGATCTAATCTTGTCAAAATGATTGCCACCACCTCAGGTAGGCATGCTCTCCTCCACTTCCAGTCTTGTGCCTGCCCTAGTCCTTCAAGATTTTAAGCAATACTACTCTTAGAAAGATCTCTTTGACAGCCCCAACCCTCCCACCCCTAAGCAATCGCTCATCAGTACTCTTGTATCAGGTGACTTGTCCTCACTGACTGAGGTAATACTCCTCTGTGTGCCTAAATAAAGTTCTGCAATTCTGATTCCACCACTTTCTACCTGTGGACATTGAGATACATTACTTAGCCTGCTTCCTCAACCAAAACTACTCTTAGACTGGCAGGCGGGGCTTGACTGGAGGCCCTGCTCTGGTACTCTGGCTATATACCTGACCTACAGTTCATGTCTCTTCTTTCTGATTACACCCGGGGTGCCCAAGATGGAAATTCTCAGCCCAAAGACCCCTAGGCCAGCTTCCAGGGCCTACATATTCTCTTTGGTGAGGCCACTTTCCTGCTATGTGTACCCCAGGATAGAGAGATGGCCAAAGGGTGACTATTTGTAGAAGGTGTGAACAGAGATGGGACCTGCAGTCAAGGAAGTTCACATACAAGTTCATGAAGCCTGTCCAAGAAGTGGAGTGAAGTCATGGATGAAAAGAGGGTGAGGATACCACAGGCTAGTATGGCTGAGGAGTCTAAGAATTCTGAATTGGAACCTGGCCTTCTAGTATGTTATGAAGGTATATGTGTCAAGGCAAGAAGACAGATTAGACTTTATCCGTTTATTAGCCTCGTTTATAACTTTCAAATATTTAGACTTTGGTAGGTGGCCCTCCATTTGTACTCCTGCCCTGGGCCCTGCCAAGATTAGGGATAGACCTGGCTTCCCCAATAAAGTATGAATAATACTAAAGAGGTAGTCAGAATTAAATATAATGATGTTTGTAATATGATTAGCACAGTCAATACTTAAAAATTATGGTATTTCTTCACTTATCTTAATGTCTTGTAATCATTTTTTATTTTCCTCTCTCCCAGTAGAATTAATCCTTTGAGCATAGGAACTATTTTTAATTTATATATCTCTATCCCGAGAGATAAGCATAGTACCCAGAATATAACAGGTACTCACTAAATGCTTGCAGAATGAATACTCTTTAGAATTTATTTCTGCCATTTTACTAATCTTTTATTTCCTTCCTTACTGCCAAGGACTGAATTCTGGTGCTGATGAATTCTCACTTATAGTTCTACAAGAGCCTCCTAATTAGTATCTCTTCCTCCATACTCTCAGCTCTCTCTAACCGACTTTCCAAATGG